ATCTCGCGGTAAAGAGTTACTTTGAGTGGGAGTTTGTATTTTCTTAAATTAGACATGTGGTTTTCCTTTTGTGCAGAATAAAGAAGATGATTTATTTTGTTACTCTGAATGATTCTATTTCTAAATGTAGTATAACATAAAGCTATAAAGCGTAAATTTTGATCTTTTTAAGGAATAAAGTTGGACCAGTTGGGAATAGACATGTTTAGATCATATTACATGTAATTCCCATGCTGCTCTTCCACACTTGATCCATGTCATTGAGTATATTTGGTGTGATGATCATTGAAGGTTGAGTCGCGATTATACATCTGATAACAGCCGCTTTGGTTCTTTATCGATATGCTAGATGGACCAGATTGTTATTAAAGGGAAGTTTATTTTAATAGCATTGAGTTGTGCACTAAAGAATAAATTAATATAATTGTAAGTAAAGAAAGTTGTTACCTAAGTGGGAGATTGTTGGAATTAATTTAAAAATTAATTCGGTAACAAATTAAAGAGCAATTATATTTGGGCTATTTAATGGGCATATGAGTGATCTTGATTATGTACCCATGACTTCCCATTGAGTGGTGTGGCTTGCTGACTAGAAATTTACCAAATTTTAGGGGATTATGGGAAACCCTACGATTAACCTATAAATATATGGTTATGGTCTTCAATACACTATGTTTCTTGAGCCTCCTGTTCCCCATCAAACAGAGAGTATTGCCCATATTTGGTTTGAGTTGCATAGTTGAGGAAGACCACAAACCACAACTTCTTGCAGATCATGATCAATGTATCTAATGATTTCAGGTAATTCTAATCCCTTTATAGATTTTAGTTTTCTTCCATGCTTAGATCCTTGGTCTTGATTGTTGTGGAATTTTATGGCTTTTATTTTAGAATAATCATGAATTAGGATTTATTTAATTTTTCCAGCCTTCGCTAGAACAAACGTCGACATTGATGACTTTGGGGGACACTTTTGATAAAGCCTACGAACAAAGAAAAACATAGAAATTTTCCCGACACTTAAATGGCGATGAATGTCGACGTTTGTTTTATGCGTCGGGAAAAGTTACCGTTTCTTAATGCTTTTTGGAAGTTTTCCCGGTGTTTTGTAGAGCGTCTGAAAATATCTTAAAAAAAACCTGTCTCGTTGTCCTTCGCCTACCCCCGCGTCCAGTCGTCGTCGCTCGCCTCCCACCGTCACCGCTCACCTCCCGCCGCTGCCGCTTCTCTCCTGCCATCGGCTTCTCTCGATCGTTTCTCTACTCCAAGGTTTATGATAAATTCTTCTTTTTAGGAGTTTTACATTTTGACTTACACATCTACTCTTCGAATAAAAGAACAAAAGTGATTTTCATACCCCATCTGAACCCATCAACGAAGAGTCCATATTTTTCTTATACATTTACAAGTTCTTATTGACTTAATTTGTTGTCCAAGCTTGCTCCTATAATTTAATTTAATTTAATCTTACAATAACCTCCAGCTTCAACAATTAGTTCTATAATTATATTTTACATGATGAAGGTTGTTCTTGTTTGAGGTTCTCCGGCAAGTCTGAGCATAGATTTGATAGTTTTGTGTTTGATATTGGAGCGGATTCAAGCGTGTTGGTGGGAATTTGAACTCTCAGCTTCGAGCTTCGAGGTTGGATTGTGGTTCGGTTTCTGGACGGCGGGGTTTTGGTTTTGAGATTATTAGTTGGAATAATTGTCTATCTTTAAGTAGAGAACTGGTGTTCGTGTTTCTCATACTGTTCCTTGAGGAGGAGAAGTTTAAGGAATCCGTGCACAAGTAAGTTTTTCCCTCCATGGTCTCCCTTAATTGTGTATTGGAGTTGTTCAATTTAGTTGAATGGAATTAGACAAGAAGAGGGGAAGAAAAATTTGTGAATATGAATAATGGTAGTTGGGTATGTGTGTTGAATGAATGCTAAAACATATCACTTATTAATCTTCGTGAGTGAGTAATTTAATAGAGGAAGAAGAATATATAATTGTTGTCTTATTTTCAAGTTCCACTTTTCATTTACTTGATTAAGATAGGAGATACTAAAAGATTGTTTACTTGAAGATTGATTCAATTGCCCCATTAATCTAAAGGTCCTTTTGTCTTAAAAAAAACACAGACACATTTAGACCCATTTTGGTTACTTTGTGGTTTTTGAGGAAATGGGCTAGATGATTTAGAGTCATTTGAAGCTAGTTTATGGACACAAATAGCATGTAGAGCTTTTAAGACACTTACATAGCTTCACGATGGTTTAAGTGCATTAGGCTCACATAGGACGCATTTAATTTCATTGGGCACTTTTTAGACCCATTTTAGCTACTTTGTGGTTTTCGGGGTGGACTATATGCTTTACGATCATTTGAAGCTAGTTTATGGACCCAAATGGCATGTAAGAGCTTTTAAGATACTTACGTAATGCACATTCAATTTCATTTTTGCCTTAAAAAACACCCTTAGGCACTTTTTAGTCCAATTTTGGATACTTTGTGACTTTCGAGGGTGGGCTAGACGGTTATTGGTCATTTGAAGCTACTTGTTTGATCCAAATGGGAGTGTGGGAGCTTTTATGACAGTTACGTAGCTACGGGGTTGTGGTACATGGATTATATATAGTGGATTAAGTTTGCTTAGGAGCATTTAGAAGTACATTTTGGCCACCATACCTCACTTAGCCACTTTCTTTTTTATACTTTCCAGGTTTCATGAGTGGGATAAAGTCTTAAATATGTCGTTTATTACTTCACGAATATTTTTTTTTTGAAAATCTATTTCGTCTTTTTGCAATTCTTTTGTTTGTTTATATTAAACACATTCTAATTATTCAGGTATGTAGTTCTTAATCTTGAATGGTCATTTTGCAAAAATGCCAACATGGAAGAAGATCAAAGAATTTTAGGATTAGTTATTTTGTTTTATATATACTTTGATACTTTCTAAACTGTAACGAAGAACAGACAACAAATTTATTGTGTAAAGATATTTGTAGTTTAATAAATTAACTTTTATAGTATTGTTTACGTGTTAAATGATACTATTGATAATATTAGGTTCAAATATTGAACTATATAAACAAAATAAATAAATAAATGTCATCTATGCCGATGATTTTAGCATTGGCAAAAGCGACGAGAAAGGTTGAGATTTACCGACGCTTAAAAAGCGTCAGCATATCCTATTTTTGTTGACGCTTTCAAAAGTGTTGGCATAGCCTGCTTTTCCCGACGCTTTTTCAAAAGCGTTGGCAAAACCTATCGCGACAGACTTACGCTGACGCTTTTGTTGACGATTTTTGTTTCATCAGCAGCAACTTTTCCCGACGCTTTTTAGCGTCAGGAAAAACAAAAAATATTGTGTGACGCATGCCAACAACATACCATTTGACAAAACATTTATAGAGATTTCCTTACCTTGATCATTTCCTACCGTGTCTCTTCAAGTGACTCTTCTTATGGCAGTAAAAATATTCAATATCACCACTCTCACTTTTCTGATCATGTTTCTGTTGTTTTCCATAATTCATCACCTCTTTGTCTTTGCTCTGAACTGTCAAATCTGACTTCATAGAGTTCTCCATATCATAAGTGGATGCATAATTCTTTCCACTTCCTTTCCTTTGAATCTCCTCAACAATTACAGCATTGCAGATTTCTGAAAATTTTAGACTTCCATTCTCGTACGAATTCGACACAGTCTGTGTCTTTTTCCAACTCTCTGGCAAATAATACAACAACTTTATAACCTTCACTTCCTTTAAAAAGTGATCTTCATCGAATTTAACTGATTCATCAGTTTAGTCACCTCGTGTATGTGAGAGTTCACCAAAGGGTCTTCCTCCATATTAATGTTGAAGTATCTCAAGATGAGATATGTCTTGCTATTGTAGATAGTTTTTCATATCTGTCTGTTAGCGCATTCATCCGTCATATCACCGTCATCTCATGCACCACGGGACTTGCCACGTTCATTGACAAACACGACCTGATGATTACTACGATCGTTAATCGATCTCTGCCAATTCCTTGTCTAGCATCCTAGTCTGTCGTTCTTTCAGAATTTTGTGCATCTTCTTATACCTGAGAAGATCTTTCACCCATATCCTCCAATACTCAAAATTCTCCCCGTCAAATCTAAAAATCCCCTCGAAGTTGGACTTTCCAATGGATCCCATGATACTAAACCTTACAGCTCTCATACCACTTGTTGGGAAAATTACTTACCCTTTTCCCCTTCCACAGTTCTTTAGTTAAAACTAAATCCAACCACAATAATGAGAGAATATAGGGAAAGTACAAAAATTACACAAGAATTTATATTGATTCATCAACTATGGCTATGTCCAGTCTTCCGCTACACGCGGGTTCTACAATAATGGGATTTGATACAATGGGCATATCTCTCACATCTAGAGGCTTCAAAAAAAGCCACATAGCTATTAGGAACTACAACAATAGAATCTTAGGAATACAATAATGAAAACCTGACCAAATACTCACGAGAACTGGTGGTCGACAATGCACTATAACCCGAGATCTCGAATTCATCACTACTCTACCAAAAACTGCCTCACAGCCCTCTGAATTTGTGCATCAACACTGTTTTAGCCACCACTTAATTATAATATCCGCGTCTCAACGCTACAAACACCCCCAACGTCAAAACACTAAACGCGCGTGCCTTTTCTTTTCTGCCTATTTATGACAACATTTCAACTTTGGCCCTTCGGGTCAGCTGGCTTCTACAACATCTCTTCATTCCTTATTTCTATTCATCCATTGATTTGACTCCATCAATGCCAACAATTTTCTAGAATTGCTAGTTGGCCTCCGCTATCTCTCCACTAAATAGGTGGTCTTTTTCTTCAGAGAAAGCTTTTCCCAAAAAATATCAAATAGATCAAGATCCAATTTCGAATCATTACTTGGTGAACATCATCTATCATCATCTCTATTAAGACTACTTTAAGACTGAAGAGAAGCCCTTTCAACAATGTCTATAACCAAACTCATAGGAACAAACTTTTATTAAAATTCAAACATAATTATTGAAATGGAACCTATAATAATACCCAAGCCAAAACATTCAACACCTTACAATCGCAAACAATGTTGTGTGGAGACTTTTCATAATACAAAATTATAGAAACAATTAAAGGATGCTCCATAAGACAAACTTTTTTTTTCCTAGTACAATCATAAGACACAAACTTGGTTGAGTTGAAGCACAAGGATCTAGTCTTCGATTTCAAAGAATGTCCCTAATTCCTTTCCAAAGTTGTAACCGGTGTGATCAACGACCTGCAATGTAGTCAATCCAAATGAAAATGGAAATATTATTTTTTTTATGTGTTTTATTAAAAATTTTATGGATTTGAAATCAGAAACTTATTGTTATTTACTTAAACGGTTTGGAATCATAATTCATATAACTAAAAAGTGTGCTAATATTTTTTTAATTAAAATAGTAATAAATTTTAATTTATTTGATTAATATTTCGTTGATAGTAAATATTTTTATTATAAAAATTTATTTAATATTAACAAAAAATAAATAATTAAAATAAAATTACATCAACTAAAATAGATTAATATAATTTTTATTATATCATTAATGTAAAATGTTAATAAGATATATTTCTATTATTCAATAATAATGAATTCTATTTTAACCATTTTATTGATACTAGTTAATAATAATACAGTAAAATTAAATAATTGATAAATTAAAATTTTATATTAAAATCACATCAATTAATAAAAATGTATAATTTTTTATTAGAAGAAAAAATATTAGTACTAAGAATAAACAAAGAAAGAATAAAATTGTAAAATAAATAATTAAAAATTTATGGTTTCGTAGATGAATGAAAGAGTAAAAGTCGTGAAATAATGATTGAAAACATACAGGATCTACATAATAAAGAACAACGAGAATAAGATTGATGAAAAAGTGTGAGATCTACGGAATAGAAAACAAGGAAAACGAGATTGATGGGGTTGTAGGACAAGTATGATAGGTAGATGGGATCAGACTTCAATGCCACTAGGAATTTTCTATTAAGAATATGAATAAGACCCCAAAGTTTGTGCTAATTTGTTATCATATCCATACTTAATCTCATATTTATATTCTTAATATTTTTCCAGACTTGAAATTAATTCGGGGTCAAATAAATGAAGTATTATATAAAATATACCATAGAAGTCTATTTCAAAATCAATTACTCTGATACCATATTAAATTACCAACTAAATTTAAAAACTTAAATTTATAAATTGCAATATATTTAGGTCATTCTTTTTCACATTCTTTAACAAATTCACTCAACCATCTTGATGTTCTAACTTGTTAGCTAAATATATGTTTTAGCATTTAATGTTTGGTTGATTCTCCCATTTATATTATATTCTCTTTGGATTTAATATTTTTCAATTATGTCTTTTCTATTTGTAAATATTTAAAATGATTTAGGATAAATTTACGTGATATAATACTTAACGTAACAATTAGAGAGAAAAGATGATAGTTCCTATCAATTTTTGAGAAGTTGACAAAAGTTTTCTTACTTTTCCCTTTTTTTAAGATTAATTCCTCCTTTAATAGTTTTCTATTCACTAAATTTAATCAATTTAACATTTAATCAATTTCAACATTCAACAACAAATATATATATATATAACTAAAATATAATTTGTTTTAAAAAAACTAAAAATATTACAATGTAAAAGACTAGATTGAAAAATTTTAAATTAAACTATAAGAATTCAATTTAAAAAAATATAAATAAATATTAGCTAGATACTAAGACATATATTATCTTTTTTGAGTGTGAAAAAGAATTCTGATATTATTTTGCCGTGTTTTGATCAGGATATTAAATTTACGTCAACATATGATTTTCCACGATATTTCTATAGGTTTGCCTTCATGGATTCAACATTGATATTAGGGATGAATTTGACATCGACATTTAAAATCTTAGTTTCGACAAAGACGGAGAAATATAACTCACATTAGTATGGCTTCTTTCCAAGTTGTAGAACACCCTTTTGTCCTCCCTTGTGAGAGGGCCTACGTGCCAAGTCCCTCTATGCATCATAACAAACTTTGGACCTGTAATCTTGAAGGCGCGAACTTCTTCAACTGCAGGAGCCACATAGTAATGACCACAGGCAGATCTCACGGCTTTCTCATGGTTAACTCCAATCTCACTTTTAACAACAGATGGTTTTGCAACTGCAAGATACCACACTTTGCTATCCGATGACCCGAGGCACTGTGTCGTTCCCGCATGATGCGCAAGCTTCCCGAATTTAAGAGGTGCATCCTCGACGTTTATAAGATAAAACCTGTTTGTCGAGATCGATCTTGTTAGACTACGCGTTTTTTGAATTGGGTTGATTCAATTTAGGAAGTAGAATACTGAGTAGGTTGGGCAAAATCTTACCTTCTAACCCTTTGTTTCTTTTTTTTTTTTTGTATATATAACGGAAAACTTTAATATCTTGATTTTTCTATGTAATTTTTTTGGATATTAGACTACAAGGAGGGAAAAGCCCTCCAGCTCCTTCCTTCTTCGCTCGCTTTTGTTCATGTGAAAATAAATCGATCGAGAGTGAAGGGATTAGAAGCTTTTACCTCGGAATTTCGTTGTCGAAGTCCAATTTAGCGTCTTGTGGTCCAAATTTTTGGTTAAAATTTACAGGCTCAATCACTTGGCCATATTCTGCAAAGTTCTCTGGAGTAGCTTCAATGGCCTTCAGCTTCAATGTCACTTTTTCCATTTTCCTTCTCTTGGAATTTTACAAAAAGCTTCTGAAGCCAAAGATTCACCAAATCTATGAAAGTACTCACAAGAATATTTCCTCATTTAGCATATAAATAATAGGGATATGAAGAAGAGACACAATGCCAGCAAATAATTGAGAGAAAATGGCCACATAAATCAAACCAAAAGAGCAATAATGCATGGTGGTCCACATGACAACAGTCTTTTTCTTTACCAACCATAATACTCAGTGTTGATTGCGATGGAATAATCTCCTACTTCTACCGCATAAATAAGCATAAAATAATCGAGAAATTTAAAGGAACCAGTAAAATAAAGAAACACATGAAATCGTTCGATTAACTAGAGTTTGTATACCATACTTGATGATTAAAACTCAAGTCCATAAGTTCCTTTTATAGTAGTTGGAACATTTTTTTTTTGGTATCATTTTTATGTGGGACAACTTCTAAGTGAGCACACTCTCTTTTTGTATCTTTACGACAAACTTCAATTCTAATATTTTGTCACAACCCAACAGATCGTTCAATAGACATCTTCCCCATGGAAAAATCTCTCTTATCTCTCTTTATGTATTCATCATTATTAATTGTACATGGTCAATAAGAAATACGCCTATAACTTAACAAGCCAAAACGAACAGAGTTTGCCGGTTGTAAGTTCGATCCCCACCTCCACATGGTGTACTAAAAAAAACAACAAAAACAAAAAATAGTATCAAACATATGGTTTAGAATTTATGTTAATTATTATTATTATTTTCGCAAACAGAATTTATGTTAATTATTGAGGGTACTATTTTTTTAAGCGAATTATTGAGAGTACCTTTAGTGCTCTTAATTAAAAAATGTCAAGTGGTAGGACATAAAAAAAAAATGGCCTAATTTTTTTATTAAACTTATCATGTGATCCTAATTTCTTAAATTATTTTTTATTCCTTATTAATCTTGTAAAATTTTAAATTAATTTATTTTAGTAAAAAGAATAGGTTAAATTACCAACGTAAACATTGATCAATTGGCGTAAACATTGATCATTGACTTAAGTACCTATCTCGAATTAAAAGATTATGAGTTTGAATCTCCAATCTACATGTTGTACTAAAAAAGTTATAAATAAAATATTAAAGTTGTTAACAAAAAGCTGTGTAATTAAATTATATATTATTTATTAATATATATGAACACTTGGACATGTCACTTCAAAGAAATTAATTTTATTGATAGTTGAATCAAATTTTGCTAATGGGTAGATTGGAGAAAATTTCTACTCTACACGATAGTGCATGTTCTACACTCATTTATTGTCAGTTGCATCAACATTATTTAAAAATGACGTGGGGTTCAAAAATGTTAAAAAAATTTTGTAAAAGAAAATTTTATGGCATGAAGGGAAGGAATAGCTATGAAAATAATAGAAAATTTTTCAGGCACATGATGAGTTTCACATGTCTCGATTAGTATTCAAGTGATAATGTGTACAAGTATATTAATTAAACAATAATTTCAGGTTGCATAAGCTTATTTTTTTATAATTTTATTTACAAAGAGACTTAATTGAAAATTGTTAATACATTAACGATAAAATTAAAAATTTTAAAAGATTAATGATAAAATCTATATGTGGTGTTTCTGTTTCCTTCTACTACAGGCACCCCAATATTGTTCCCTCTGGAATTTTAGCTTGAATACTTATTGGGATGTCCTTTCTTACTCGTTGTGTTATGATTTTCTCTCAATTTAATCCATTTATGCTTCGTTTCTTTCCCAATTATTCATTCCTATAAAAGTCTTATGTGCGTAAATCATAAAGAAACACAAACTAACAAATAATTCCAATATAAATCTCATAAAATGTAGCTCATAGAGGTCTTCTCACTATGGGAGTGTTGAGTCTGCAGAGTTAAAACCAGCGTGGTCCATCGAAGATCACGGTCAGAGAGGAGGTTATCCTTCTAAGTTGTCAAAGGGATACCTTAAATTTATTGGGGAACAATATGACGTTCCAACATATATAGGCATGAGGCTTCCTATAGAAGGGGGAAATGGTTGAGGATCTCCTAGAGGGATGTGTCACCCTATACTTAAAGATTCGAGTTCGAATTTAGAAGTCTGGCACCTGTGCAGCTCGCTCCCGACGGGCGGGGCATGTTGTTAGTCTTGTGTCGTCATGGCGCCATATGGTGGTTGGAATTAAAAAATGATGAGCATTCCGAGCTTCTTACCGTAGAACAACTCTTGGCTTCACCCGAGGTCAAAAAGCTCTCTAGGAAGGTCAATTGCTTCTACCTCTATCTAGGCAGGGTGTTGGAAAAATTGTCAGGTGCCTTCTTTTATCAAGAAGTGGAAAAGCGAGTGGTTTTATGCGTATGAGAACTTGTTTGTCATAGAGGTCGACATGTGAACACTCTTGGTATGAACGACCTTCTATTCGAGTGCGATTGCTCGATATGCCTGAGAATACTCCAAAATCCCCAAGTCCGGCTCCTTCGACCAAACTCGGTGAGTTTTGATTTGTTGATTTTCACTTAGTTTGAACTCACTTAATCTTTTGCAATTATGATTCTGAAATTTGTCTCCAACGTTATATTAGGAGTTCAAGATCGGCCTCTTCTTCAAAAATTGAAGGGGGTTCTAGCTCCACCCAACCTATGAAGATCGGGAGTTTGGACCTTGCAGTCTCTCCAAATTTACAAGGAGTAGGAATTGTTATCCTATAAGGATCAGGATATGATCTATATTTTTTTCCCATCAATCTGGTTAAGAACAACGGTACCTCAAGTATTTCAAGTATCACCACAATGATATGATATTGTCTATTTTGGGAATAGCCCTCACGGCTTTGCTTTTGATTTCACCCAAAAGGTCTCATCCAATAGAGATAATTGTCTTCATCTATATATCATCGATCACTCTTTTCCCTAAGTAATGTGAGACTTTGTTTGCACACTTTACATATCCAACATTGTTTTCATTTCCTTTCTTCAGGTGACTAACTCGAGCTTTTCCTTTACGTCCACACTACCATATGTCATACTACTATCCAGATTAAAGTGGACATTGAAGGGCGTAATTCTTGGTCGAAGCAAGAGCTTGAGGCTTCTTCAGTTGTAGGAGATACTCTCAAGATTGCTCGAACCAAGCACAAAGAGGTGAAGGATAAGCGCCAAGCTTCATGGCGAAGGTTGAGGATTACACAAGCTTCATTCTTCTGTTGGATTACAAAAGCTTTAGTCCCCATCTAGTACCAAATCTTCATTCTATTATAAAGGAACTGGTCACTTCTCTTTAAAATAACAACTATTTGACAAAAAGAAAACAAAAAACTCACTTCTTGGGTCACTTACACTAAAATTTCCTCCGTTAGCATATAAATAATAAGGATGTGAGAAGAGACACCGTGGCAGTAAATAATTGAGGGAAAATGGCCTCATAACCAAACAAAAAAACAATAATGCATGGTGTTCCACGTGATGGCAGCCTTTTATTATTTTTTTTTTTAACGATCCATAATACTTAAATTTGATGCGGATCATGATCAGGTTTAAAAAATTGATAACTAATTTATATTTGGAAAAAAAAAGAACAAAGAAGAAAAGTTTCTTTTTATCTCTTTTTTGTATGTATTCATCCTTATTAATTGTCAATTTTTAAATGGTGATGAGTCAGACCTACAGCCTAAATCATCAATACACCTAAATATTATTCTTTTTTGACTTGCTATTGACAATAATTTTTGGGTAAATTGTAAAAACCATCCCTAAATTATGGTAGTTGTAGCAAATACAACCACAAACTTTTTATTGGAAAAATTAAACCCTCCAACTTAAATAATAGTTCAAATTAAACCTCTCTATTAGTTAAGTTCAACTTCCATTAAGTTCTCCTTTAAAAAACAAATTGATTGTTTAAAAATAAAAATAAAAATAAAATAAAGTGCTTCGTTAAGTTACAGAATCATGCCTAACAAACAAAGTTCTTTCCTAGAGAGAGGGAGAAAACGAAGAGTTTTTAAGATTTCTAGACAAGATCACTACTTGGATTCCAGTTTCGATCATAATATATATATATATATATATGCTCGGTTTGGGAGTGTTCAATGGTAAGTAATACAAAATCGAGTATCATCTTCTTACATTTTCAAACGCGGCCAAGTTTTGATATTTTCCTTCTCAATTTTATTGTTAAGTCATTTGATATTATAACAAAAATGGAGATGGAAGGTTGCTGAATTTTTTTTTGTGTGTTCACTTATGGAGGTTCATATGTGGAAGTAAATTAAACTACTATTTTTTTAAGTATAGAAGAAACCTCACAAAATTAGTTTTTGTCGATCGTATGGACGATTCTTGTTGTTCAAGTTGAATTAATTTTGTTTGAGAAAAATGTGAAACCTGTATTTTAAAAAAATTCTCTCTGATGAATTCCTCTTACAAAGGAATGAACTATAATTTTACTAATCGATTGATCGAGAAACTTCTCATGCAGAATTGAGTGCTTTAGATGATCTTGAAATTTTTCGGTTGAATTTTAGTCTTGTTTTATTATTTTATTTCCAATACCTTTATAGAGTACTCAACCTATTCGTCAGTTGCTGAATTTTGAATTCCTAGTAATTAGGTCACTTTGTCTTTCAATTTCTTCTTAATCTTTTTCACTAGTCAGTGCAAATGCAACATGTATCTTATTTAGTGAACTTAATGCAGATTATTGTAGAGTAGTTGAATCTTGAAAACAAGTTAAATGGTCATTGACAGTTGTGTGCACTATATTTTATTTTTTCTCACGACTTCAGCATCATTTTTTTAACCTATATCAATTTGAAGCAATATATGTGGGGATCTATGGTTTTGTTTTGGCCCAGCTTGTGTTCTCTAGTCTTGTAAAAGTTGGGAATGTTTTCTACTAAATAATTCGTTTTTGTTTCTCGTTGTTTCTTTCTTTCTTGTGTAGGTAAGAGTACTTGGGCAAGTCTTGGATGATGGTAAAGTTCTTGATACATTTTGTATCATCATCTAATCCAAACTAAAAATTTTCACATCACATCATTTTTAGAGGATCGTAATTTGAAGTCAATGATTGGTGCTTGTAAT